ACAGTGATACACGGCTATTGAAACAGTTATACATGGCTAATATAACAGTGATAAACGGCATATATAATAGTGATACATTACTAGTACATGTATATCAGTTATACAAGGCTAATATAACAGTGATACATGGCTCGTATAACAGTGATACAAGGCTAATATTACAGTGAAACAAGGCTTATATAACAATGATACACTGCTTATATAACACTGATACATGGCTGATATTACAGTGATGCATGGCTAACATAACAGTGATACACGGCTAATATAGCAGTGATACACGACAAGGCTAATATAACAGTGATATACGGCTAATATAACAGTTGTACATGGCTTATATAACAGTGATGCAAGGCTAATATAATAGTAATTCAAGGCTAATATAACAGTGATATACGGCAATTATTGCAGTGATACATGGCTAAAATATCAGTGATAGATGACTAATATAACAGTGAAACAAGGCTAATATAACAGTGTATCACTATTATAAATATAACAGTGATATTATACGAAGAAGTCGAAGACCAGGACTACGAAACGGGCGTCAGATTTGGCTTGGACGGCTTTACACTTACCAGATATATTTAAAAGGAAATCAAATAAGTAACTCTTTAAAAATATGTAGAAGAAGAAAAGTTTGTTTCCAACTTGTACACATAAAGTACCTAATTGTTAAAAGTAATAATACTAGCGAGGTTTCACGCACGCGTAAAATGGCGGCTGCGAAGGAATGGCCAGCTTTGCACTGACTATTTTAGAATAACCAAAAAATATTTCTACGTAGACGAATGTCTGTTTAGAATTGTAGAACTTAAAGGGGAAGCATAACGACACGAAAATTTCATTACGACGTTCTAGTATAGAACTGTGACATCATGGGTACCATATGTTGTTTTGTGCCAGGTATCCGACACTATGTTCTTAATGCAGACACGCTCGTAATGCCGTGGACATTATTAAATCTATCCCAATCAAACGATTTCATTATTCTAAACTTTTAATAAGCAAATGACCAACAATAAGAATCAAATTTGAGCATGAACATAGTACATATGCATGTTTAAGTCATTAAAGGCATCAGACTCTACCAAATATAACCAAAATAAAAATAAAAAAACACACACGCGTGACATCACAGCGTATATAGTTTACAATTTAAAAGGCGGCTATTGAAATTTTGAAACCGTACGGTAATATCCAAATCATTTCAATCAAAAAATACAATTTTTTAAAATATAATATATCATACATTTTAATTTCTTCAAAACAAACTTATTTCCTAGTTTCTAAAAGTAAACAAACAGACCGATTGAAAAAAAAACATATGTTTTATTTACAATCCAATGCAACACCAATGCGTTTTGTTCCATGTGGTTCCCCTTTTTAGGTTTACCTTTGTTAGAGAAGAAACGAGTTAACGCTTGGTTTAATTTTAGCCTGGCTCCAGGATGTCAAATCTCGGTAAACTTCAGACAGTTGCTCAGTTCATTATTTGTATACGGAGATAAGAAAACATTGTCTTTCCATTTGAGGAAAATATGAATAAAAATGTTTTGCAACAAAGCAAGAAATCTTAAATTGGTCATGTTCGTGAAGTTGGCAGCCTAGCAGCCTGGCAGCCTAGCAGCCTGAAGTTGGCAGTCTAGCAACCTAACAGCCTGAAGTTGGCAGCCTAGCAGCCTGGCAGCCTAGCAGCCTAAAGAAAACTAAGAATAGTACAAACATGAAAATGGTCGGAAATACATCAGTAGCACTTCCTTATATCATTCCACGCCTTTTTTCAATATCGTGATCTTTATTTTTTAAGATGTAGAACTTTATCTTAACATAATTTTTTTCATTCTGACGCTTCGAAATTTGTGAAGTTAGCAGCCTAGCAGCCCAGCAGCCTAGCAGCCTAAAGAAAACTAAGGATAGTACAAACATAAAAACCGTCGGAAATGAATCGGTAGCACATACTTAGACCATTCCACGTCTTATTTCAATATCGCGATCTTTGTTTTTTTTAAATATTGAACTTTATCTTCTTTTTTTTTCATTTTAACGCTTCGAAATTTGTGGAATTAGCAGCCTAGCAGCCTGGCAGCCTAGCAGCCTAAAGAAAACTAAGGATAGTACAAACATAAAAACCGTCGGAAATGAATGGGTAGCACATACTTAGACCATTCCTTGTCTTATTTCAATATTGCGTTCTTTATATCTTTTTTTTTAATTATTGAACTTTATTTTTTTTTCATTTTGCCGCTTCGGAAATTTATGAAGTTAAATGAATGTTTGTACTATCCTTAGTTTTCCATAGGCTGTTAGGCTGCTGGGCTGCTAGGCTGCTAACTTCACAAATTTCGAAGAGTCAGAATGAAAAAATAATTTTAAGATAAAGTTCTACATCTTAAAAAATAAAGATCACGATATTGAAAAAAGGCGTGGAATGATATCAGAAAGTGCTACTAATGTATTTCCGACCATTTTCATGTTTTTTTCTATTTTCTTTTTCTATTCTTTAACTATTCTTAGTTTTCTTTAAGCTGCTAGGCTGTCAACTTCAGGCTGTTAGGCTGCCAGGCTGCTAGGCTGCCAACTTCAGGCAGCAAGGCTGCAAACTTCAGGCTGCTTGGCTGCCAACTTCACGAACATAAATTGGTCTTGAAGTGTAAAGTTGATGAATGTCAATATACACGACTCGCAAAGTTAATTGTGTCATTCCGCAGTTAATTATGCGGCTTTTTCAAAGTTCTAAAAGACTCGGCTGCTTTGCAGCTAATAACAGTCGTAAAGAATGTATATACAAAGTATAAATAATATTAACAATTATCAAAGGGACTGTCCTATTTTAACAAGATCGAACTGAAAATATTTTTTCAAGTTTAATATTTCATTTCATGTAGGTGGAGACCAAAGTCTTTTTATGCACAAATTCCGTTGTTCCAGAATAACTTATTCCACTGTGAAAATTGGTCCAAAATTGAAAACGCTTTAAATTTCACAATAACCCAAAAAAATACGATTTCCATTTTTTTCCAATTTATTTCTTAGTAGATGTCTTAATTTTCTTTGGCATATTTTTCTGTTTCATGTGCCCAAGTTGATCTATGTAACAAATTCAAATTTTAAGTTTTAGACTTTTGGACCTCAGTGAAGGAGTTTTTTTATTCATCATTGTACTTTATCAAAATCTGCATTTAACAAGTATTTACATACATGTTTATGATAAAAGTGAATTGGTCTCTAACTGAATACCGATATATGTAATACCATATAATAATTTTTGATGGTACTTAACAGGTATATATATGGTGAACAATACTATGTTGTTCTAGAACACTTTATTATATGCTTTATATTATCATATCGAACCATACACATATCTAGCAACAACAACACCCATGTATAATTCTTTCGTGGTTTGTTGTCACCTGTTAAATACCATGTTCATTAAAAATCACTTGAGAACCCTTTCAACATTGCTTGCCAGAAATATATATTTCGTAAGATTATCCAAATTATTCATTTCGTTTGTTTTTTTTATCAATATTTGATATACTTGCGGAAAATGTGCTCATTGTAGACAAAATCACTTTTCGTTGTTACAGGCAGAATTTCACTGTCAAATCTGTCATTTTGAATTATTAAAATTACCTATCTCATAGCAAAAGATGTATTTCTAACAGAAAGTATTCTTAGTTTGGGCAATCTGTAACATTTAGCTGTACATTGTTGCACCGCGCATTGGGGTCAAACGTACTTTTGGGTCGACCCTCAAAGTGCGTAACACACTTTGGTGTCAAAATTTAACCCCAAAGTGCGATACATAGGTACATATGCATTTAAAATGAAGATATTTTAAAATAATATCTTGTAGTAATTGGCAATTGTGAACTAAAAATACATTGTAAAGAAATGTATTTATTCGGCACTAACAATAGCAGACGATATATTATTTAAATGTTTATATATACGGGTTTCAATTTTCAATTTACAATGTAATAGAAATATGTTTAATATTCAATTATATTTCTCATAGGATGGTGGCCTCTCGGTTTAAATATGTATGATGCGTATTTAGTGTAATAATACATTAGATAACATATTATTTAAGTCTTACCAATGAACTAACTTTATGTGCCAATAACTAGAGATTGCATGTCACACATATTTCCATCTACCTTTTACGATAGGATCTGTTGTTGACCCATTAAAAGTCTGGATTTACCTTAATTCTAGATATATTTAAAAACATCTATGAATTATAGTATAATAAATAAAGATAAGACAAATCTAAATGAAAATAAAAAGAAAAGAAACAACTTACTATTCATTTCATTCACAGTATATTTCTAAGAGTTTTAATAACAAAACAACAAAAACATGTGTTTGATTTTTTTTTTGATAACTCAGCTTATTATGTAATAACTTTGTTCAACAGTTGTCTCCAGAGTTTGATAGCATACCGGCATACATACAAAAATAGACCTGTCAACAATGTTTGAATTAGATTTATAAAAATACGCATTTTGAGTAGTAGTTACAGAAAAAAGAAGAAGAAATACTTTATTTGTAATTTATACATTTACAGTATATCGTTTCATACAGTAGTCACATGACAAAAGTAAAGAAAACAAAAATGATAATAATAAGTTTAACTAATTACATTCAAAGAATTTTGTTACGGAGAACAGACAGTTGTCAAAAAATAACAAAAAGAAAGAACATCACTACATCATAATTAGTCATAGAAATAAAGAGTTCTAGGAAAATCAACAACAGCAAAAACAGATGTGTAAATGCAACGGCTTCAAAAGTATAGTTTTACATGTTTATTATTTTTTTAATAATGATATATAAAATAAGTTGTAACAATTTATATTAAAAAAATGCGTTATGGAGTAACAACTGGAAGTAACAGTTCTTGTCTCTTTTTATTGGCTACATCTATATATTTTACTAAATTTACAAGTATAGCTTTATTTTCTGATTGTAACAATTATACTTATTAACTCTTAGGTCTTGTAAAGTAATAACGCTTGATGCTTGATAAAAGCAAAAGAGAGTATAAAGTGTAATACAATATATAACATGAAACACATGAAAGCACAATGCAGTGTTATTAATAAATCTTTAACCTACTGACAGCAATTTCAAACTGTTGGTTCCTTAAGAGGCTCCGCTTAGAATACAGTCCGATACCAAGTTGTTTGACATCCACCTTTCAATTTTTGTTGATTTCGTAAAAAATTAAATAAAATTAAAAGAATCAAATAGACTTCATTTTCACGAAAATATTATCATTTTCTTCAATTTTGTTTACAATAACTCTCAGTTAGTATAATTTACAAAGCAACATGAGCAAATCAAATATGTAAACATATAAAAGAAATAGGTCACTGTGATGCTTTCAGAAAACGAAAATAATTGTATAACATAGAGAAAAATATAGATTTATGTTTGTAAGCTGATATATCATATGTTAAAAACTTGTTTTTAGTTTTTGTCTAAATTATTAAAAAAATAAAATAAATGTTAAGTACCGTTTGATAGAAAATATAGTAATCTAATTGCGTTAATCTGGGGAAATCATTTATATTTTCTGCTCAAACGGGCATTTGATTGACAGATAGCTTATGCTAAAACAGATCGCGTGGTTAAGTGAATTTCGTTTTAGTACTCTATCTGATTGGTTAATTTTTATTACCGCTCCAAACACATGATTTTTCGTATCAATTGATTGACACATCGTGTTTATTTCAGGTGTGAATCACCTAGGAGTCACGTGGCTCTCTGTGTGCGTGTGACGTAAAAATGATGTCGTCTGGTTAAATGAAGTCAGCTTTTTTTACAACTTGGAAATAAGGTATATGAGTACTTTACACCGGATGCAGTTTCAGACCGGGATATCTTATCAGAGGGAAACACTTGCTCGAGGGTAACTGTTTAATATTGAACAAGACTCTGCAGTGGTGCCTGTGAATAGTCACTCTAAAGTCAGTTATTACCGTCCGTGACAAGGGTTTTTATAGCTTGCATTTATTTATTTTTTTTTTGGTTGAAAAGAAATAATGATAGCTTTAAGATTTTATTGAGCATTTTTTTTTATCTTATCGTAATCTATTTATCTACTTGATTTATCAAAGATACAGTATGATGTCATTTTTAGCACGCGACTGATATAAACGGTATAAGATGACGACGTTTTGTAGAGCAGGTAGCAACAAAAGTAACCGCAATCTCATATGTATACAAGAAAAACATGCCCTTTCCAATTTGTGGATGCACAAAATAAATGTGCACCAGTCATTTTCATGTGAAGTAGAGAACAAGCTTATTTTTGTATCTGTTGGTGTAACATTTTGCCTGGGACATAAAATATACATGTATATTTTAAGTCCCAGATTTTGCAAAACTTGTAACAAATTCATTTAACAACGATAAAAATGAAAATAAATATATTTGTGCACATGTCATCAATAAGAAAATGAAATCATATCACAGTATATTACATATCACGCATTCCAAAAAAAATAATAAATCAATAATTAATTAATAATAAAATAATTTAAAAAAATAATGATTGTAAATTTTTGTTAAAAGTAAATAGATTTTGCACTTAACATTAGTATTGTTTTATCACAGTTAAGTATTGTAAAAAGGAGTACCAATGGTTCTAAAATTCCCTATTTTATACTAGTCATTAGTAAATATTAGTACATTTTTTTCTAATTATCATGAAAGACATAAACATTTACTTAATGGTTCTAAATAATTTCACTTCCATTGTTTCTAAATTTATATGGTAATATATCTGCTTATATTTAACATTTAAACAAAATTCTAGTTATTCTAAATATTATACATCTATGAATTGCTAAATTATATTTTCTTAAAATTCCATATACAAAGTCGCTTTGTTTAGAATGTTTTACTCTAAAAGCTTTTACAATGTACACTATGAACGCGTTAAATGTAAACAGGATTGCGACGTCAATTAAACTTCTCAACAATAATTAAAATGGCAAAGACAGGTTTTCTAAACAACTCCAATTCAAATTCAAACAACCCTGATATTATTGCACTTACAAATAAATAAATTATTCCTCATATGTTTGATGTGCCTCTGGTGTTAGTTAGTTTTTTTGCAAAGAATCATTTGTTTGATGATGGTAAAACACAAGTTTTCTCTTTAAGTAATTTTTTCATTGGCTAAGTTTTCTGTTTGCGCATTTTTTCATTGCATTTTCTAGCCCATTCTTCAAACATTCCTTTACAAGCATCTTTATCGTCTTGATTTTTGCAGTAAACACGGACAGACAGTTCACTGAACGTTTGCGGTAGTAGAAGAGAAACCTAGAATAACAATATTACGACAATGATCACAAGCGTGTTTGTTTTTAGATAGTTGTTTACGTTATTTATTGTATTGTTTTATTTAAAACGTCCGATATGAGTAAACTTGTACACATTTAGAGAAAAGACATATCCTGCTTTCACAGATATTTGAAACAACTCTTAGTGAAGATATTAAACAAAAATCCTTAAGCAAAAACATATTACAAGAACATAAATGAATACCACCTAATAGGTTATCATTTCGTGATAGTGAATCAGAGAACAGTATATATTTGGTATATAGATTTATAAGTAAAGAAGAAAGAATAGTTACATCTTCTTTGGCTATTGCTTCTGCAACGTCCGGATTGGTCTTTGAGTAAAACTTAACGTTGACTATCGGATTCTGATCTTTGTTACCATAGTCTAAGTTCACAACCTAAATGAGTAAATTTGTTTTGCATGTAAGTTCGATATTTTGATATTTTTTTTACAGAGTGACCACTGGGAACAATATTTTGCAATGGACGCAGTCACTAGTGGAAATAACAAAGCATTCGTTCATGAGTGAAAAATGTCTTTCGTGTAAAACAACCACCAAAAAAGAAAAATACCAAACATACATGATTTCCATCTATTGCATACATTTCGAGTTCGTTTTTTGGACACGTTTCGATATTTAAAGTGACTTTATGCTATCTTTTCATTGTGGACTTGAACTGAATTGACTTTATATTTTATAAGACTAGTTGTTTAAGTGGTGATTTACCAACAGTTGATATTTGAAAGATTCAGATAAAATTTAAATCTGCCTAAAATATGTATAGATTGTCCAACTCGTTAAATTAATGTTACCGGATATTTAAAGAAATTGCATTTGGCCACGCGAGTTATTTTCGTTCATGCTAAGTAAATTATAAAATTGAAAAGAGTGATGGTAAAATGTAAATGAGTTGTACCTGTTCACTCACTATGAACCGATGGATGGGCATAATGTCACTTTGAGAATAGATATTGGTTGCGGTAGATAATATGAATTGAATTGTCGCTTTAGCGTTCAAATGATAAAATAAGTCCCTAATATCAGTATTTAAAGTATCGCGACATAAAGGTTTACAATAAAACTAGAAATAATTATCGGGCTTGTTGCTACAAAAGATTCGCTTTACTATAACAATATTAAGTTTGAACTGTTTGTATCAGAAATTATGTTATTCAAAATAATCTGCGCCTTTCGTTACAATTTGATTATATATAAAGTTTTGACCTAGAAAACATTTTAATCGTGAAAAGTATACTTACGTCAACGACTATGAAGTCCTCTTCATCTAGTCTAGAAACAATCGGCGTTCCTTTCAATTTGGCCTTAATATCCTTTATAACATCTTCCTACAAAGAACTAGACTTAAATACAATAATATATAAATAGATTTGACCACTTCTACCCGTACACCGCCTGCTCTGACCCAATCATAATGGATTATCAAATAAAGACCAAATGGACGACAAAAGACCTCTGAAAGGGGCGCATACGGGGTTCGCCATCGGCCATGTTTTTATCGGGTATATATGAAATACTTTTTTTTCATGTGTAATTTAGCATTAACCGTTGTTTCATAGTTTAAGGTAGTAAAGTTCGCATTGATATTCATTGATGTTCAGAAAGTTTTTTTAAAAAAAAAACACAGCAATGTGGCAAATTAAATTATATCTAAATATATGTATATACGAAATTGTAATAATGATGAGAAGGAGGTCATTTAAATAAATCAAATTAAACAAAAGCAGCAGTACAGGCATTACTTTGAAATATATAAAAAAACAGCAAAGAGTTGAATTATCAAAAAGAAAAAAACCGGGCTAAAAGCAAAAACAAAAAATTCCCGGATTAAATGCACCAAAAATCTGTGAAAGTAATATATAAACGAAACAATTATTCATCCAATAGATTCAACGGATCTTAATACAATAGTTGAGAAAAAAAGTTTAACGCATAGCTTTTAGCAGTCCACTTAAGGAACATGTGGCTTCAAGAAATTTCTTCAGATCTGAAAACATCAATGAGAATTTATTTAACACCATATTTCTCACGCCGGCAAATTTGTGTGGTTTTAATAAACGAGGGCCGGTCGAAAAGTGTGTGAAATTTGTCATAAAATCACTTTTTATGAGTGAATACTTTAATACGATCTTTGTCAGTTAGCATGCAATGCATGCAACAAGTCTTTAAAAACCAACGGTTCGAGAAATATTTATATTCGAGTTATTTGTAACTTATGTGTGTACACATTACGCGTTTGTTTCAACATGCTTACCCTTTTTCCAAACTTCCCTCCAGCAAACCTTTTTTCGCCGACACATCTGTACAAATCTCGTCGAAGAATCCTATTAAGAATTTCTTTCGATTTTTTTAGTTTCTTTACATCCCTTCTATGAATTCCTTTCGATTTTTCAAGTTTCTCTACATCGAATTCTATGATTTTATGAATGACTCCATCGTTAAGAAGAGTGAAGGCCGTCATATCCCTGACTGTATCGGACATGCGGACATGTTTTCTAAAAGTTGATTTAAATATACACGTAATAATACCATACAAAACAAAACTACTGGTAAAATAATCATGATAATCGAAATCTTGATAAGGACTTAAAAAGATATAAAACGTAAAGTATACCTGAACTGCAACGTAGAAAAATCAAAGCGCTGAAAGCACTGCTGGGGGCGCATTATGTTGATTGTATAGTGGTCTATTGTTACAAGCAGATGCCATTCCTACTTTCAAAGCAGATGTCACATTTTTACTCGATTATTCGATAAGAATAAGTAGAATTATCCTAGTCATCTGAACATTGGCGTCTATCACCTCAATTTTTCCCGAAGTCCATTGACATATGGCATTGAAACTTTGCACACTTGATCCCGATCAGGCACCCATTTGTTAAAGATTGCCTATGGCTTCAAGATATTTTCGTATTCCATAGACATCTGGCTTTGAAATAAATTGAAATGTTATACATTTCTTTGCGAGCATACTAGCTAGGACTCTCTCCAATGCTTATATCTGTAGAATATTGGGTTTAAAGAAATTTTTGGTCCTTTTGTGAACTTAAAATATTTTAAATAACCAAGGTTCTTCTATTGTCAAGCACTAAGCATATAGTTGAGTGTGCTGTCCTACCAACAGCTATTGTTTGCATACCTTGTGAAATATAACTCCTTCAAACTTTTGTTCAGTTATTATTATACAAACACAAGAACTGTCTGAGGACAGTAAGGCTCGACTATTCGAAAAGGTTGTCACAAGGGTGTTTATTGAGTATAAAAATGCTTACCAATGAATACATAAAACTGACCGAAAAGGTACAAAGGCTTGGATTAAGATGTTTTATCAAGTAAATCACTGCTTTATTATCATGAATGCATAAAATTGTCCCAAAAAAGGCACAAACCCTTCAGTAGTTATGGAGATAACATGCTTACAAGCAAAACTTTACCATTAAATTCTAAGTTGAAAAAGGGGAGAAAAATAAGCCTAAATTCTCGATAAAATTATGGATCTTGGTCAGTAACCTAACCTACATGTACAATTATGACCCTAAATGCACGTGAAGTTTTAATATTGTAAGCAGAGTTATCCAATTTGTCAATCTGATGTACATTGTTACTATAAATAACTATTGTAAGTTTCAATTGAATATCTCAAGCAATAATTGAGATATTTGACTTTAAAATAAACTTAAACCAACGCAGACGCGGACGCTGGGTTACTACAATAGCTCTCATATTTTTCAAATAGTCGAGCTAAAAACTACCAAGTCATGGTTGAGACCATATAGTTATTCCATATATAAATATATATGTATATATCATGGAAAACATTTCAAGATGTTACAATGGATTGTAGTGTATAACAAGAAAATCAGTGTACTTTAACTTTAATCCAATAATCATACAAACATCTGTAAATAACTGGAACAAAATATTTCTTAAATAAAACCATACAAAACAAGAGGGCCATGATAGCCCTAGATCGCTCACCTGACTTATCAAACTCATCCAAACAATTACCTAGACAAACATTCTGACCAAGTCTCACGACAGGTGAGTCAAAAATGTGACCACTACAGTGTTAACAAGGATTATCCATATTTGAGCAGTGCGACCTTGTTTTTTACTCAGGTGACACATATTCAAACTTGACCTAGAAATCATCAAAACAAACTGTCAGACCAATTTCCAGGATACTTGGATCAAAACAGTAGCAACAAGAGTGTTAACAAGATTTTTCTATTTTTAGCTCCGGTGACCTAGTTTCACATGCGATTTCGAACTCATCCAAGCAATTACCTAGACAAGCATCCTGACCAAGTTTGATGATAATTGAGTCGAAAATGTGACCAGTAGAATGTTAACAAGGCTTTTCCATATTTGGGCGGTGTGACCTAGTTTTTCATCCAAGATGACCCATGTTGGATCTTGACTTAGAAATCATCAAAACAAACTTTTAGACCAATTAACAGAATATTTGGATCACAACAGTAGCCACTAGAGTGTTAACAAGATTTTTCTATTTTTATCTCCTGTGACCTAGTTTTTCATCCGAGATGTCCCATGTTCGATTTATTCCCAGCAATGACCTAGGCAAGTTTCCTGACCAAGTTTGCTAACAATTGAGTCAAAATTGTGACCACTAGAGTGTTAACAAGGTTTTTCTATTTTTAGCTCCTGTGACCTAGTTTTTCATCCGAGATGACCCATTTCCGAACTCATCCGAGCTATCACCTAGACAAGCATCTTAATCAAGTTTGATGATGATTGATGGCAAAAATGTGACCACAAGAGTGTTAACAAGGTTTTTCTATTTCTACCCCAGGTGACCTACTTTTTCATCCAAGATGACCCATGTTCAAACTCATCCGAGCTATCAACTAGACAAACATCTTGACAAAAGTTTGATGATGACTGATGCAAAAATGTGACTGCTAGAGTGTTAACAAGGTTTTTCTATTTTTAGCTCCGGTGACCTACTTTTTCATCCGAGATGACCCATGTTTGTACTCATCCGAGCTATCACATAGACAAGCATCTTGACCAAGTTTGATGATGATTGATGCAAAAATGTGACCGCTAGATTGTTAACAATGTTTTTCTATTTTTAGCTCCGGTGACCTACATTTTCATCTGAGATGACCCATGTTCAAACTCATCCAAGATATCAACTAGATAAGCATCCTGACCAAGTTTGATGATGATTGATGCAAAAATGTGACTGCTAGAGTGTTAACAAGGTTTTTCTATTTATAGCTCCGGTGACCTAGTTTTACATCCTAAATGACCCATGTTCGAACTCATCCGAGCTATCAACCAGATAAGCATCCTGACAAAGTGTGATGATGATTGGGTCAAAAATGTGACCACTAGAGTGTTCACAAGGTTTTTCTATTTTTAGCTCCTGTGACCTAGTTTTTCATCAGAGATGACCCATGTTCAAACTCATCCAAGCAATTGACTAGACAAGCATTCTGACCAAGTTTGATGATGATTGGTTTAAAAATGTGACCACTAGAGTGTTCACAAGGTGTTTCTATTTATAGCTCCTGTGACCTACTTTTTCATCAGAGATGACCCATGTTCGAACTCATCCGAGCTATCACCTAGGCAAACATCCTGACCAAGTTTAATGATGATTGGGTCAAAAATGTGACCTCTACAGTGTTCACAAGGTTTTTCTTTTTTTAGCTCTTGTGACCTAGTCTTTCATCCGAGATGACTCATGTTCGAACTCATCCATGCTTTCAACTAGATAAGCATCCTGACCAAGTTTGATGATGATTGAGGCAAAAATGCGACCGCTAGAGTGTTCACAAGCAATTGTGGACGGACGACGGACATTCACCGATCCTTAAAGCTCACCCTGAGCAAGCTCAGGTGAGCTAAAAACCAAAAACTGATGATGACAGAACGGGTATCACTTTATGCCTATAAAATTTTTTTTGCTCAAGTGATTTTTTTTCGAAGAGCTACATGTGAAATTGCTGCCAAATATACATAAGTAAAATCTATTTCAAAGCTGCATGCATTCATATAAATATATTTTAAAAAAATCAAACTTGATTAAATAAAAAAAAAGTTCAAGGATAGCCCAAACTTGTTAATTATAAAAAAATATATATACAGAATATTATGTTGTAGTAGCTCTCTGAGGCTTTTTATTTTGCTATGAGCAGCGGTGGGAAATTGATATCTTGCGAGACTAAAGGGCGAGCTAGATAACAATTTTCCAACATTGCAAGTAGAAAAATGCATAGCCTCAGAAAGCTACTACAACATAATTTTCCTTTAATAATATACCTTTTCGTTTGAAGTATAAATGATTTTCATTATACTACACTTATATAAGAAATTTCAGAAAAAGAAATGTAGCTGTCAAGAAATAAATTATGACTGACAGATGAATACGTAATTTGTGCAAAACCAGCCACACCTTTTATTATTTTGGTTGCCGTTTCCATATACTATGTTATACACAGCTAAGATCAGAACCAACATTAACAAGAACCGGTTGAACCGGGTGATGCTCCCCGAGAAGGTTCTGGACACTGGAAAGTATAAAAAAAATGAACAAAGGGCAAAAACCCCAAAATTAGGCAAAGCGGAGTTATGTTTTTTTTTGCACTGCACTTCTATTCAATTAGATCTATCCATCTATAAAGTTGCCTGATGATATCAGAGTTATGTCCAAGGTAAAATTCAAAGTGTAAAAATGAAATTAGGGTAATAACTCCAAAATTAGACCAGGCTTTCTTTAGGTTCTTTAAGCATTGCAGTTCTATCCAATTATATCTAGCTACCTACAAAGTTTCATGTTGATATCTCTAATAGTTTTAAAGTTATGTCTCGTACAAAAGTCAAAAAGTAAAAATAAACAAAGGGCAATTACTTCAAAATAAGGCAAGGCAGAGTAATAATTCTTAAGCACTGCTTAGAGTAATGTCCCGGACAAAGTTCAAAGTGTCAAAATGATCAAAGGGCAATAACTCCAAAAGTAGGCAAGACAGTGTTACAGTTCTTGTGCACTGCAAACTTACTCAACGATATCTATCTACCTACAAAGTTTCATGTTGATATCTCTTTTACATTGAGAGTTATGTCTCGGACAAAGTTCAAAGTGTAAAAATAAACAAAGGGGGATAATTCAAAAATTAGGCAAGGGAGAGTTAAGGTTCTTGTGCACTGCTTACCAACTCAATGAAATCTATCTACCTACAAAGTTTCATGTTGATACCTGTTATAGTTTTAGAGACAAAGTTCAAAGTGTAAAATAAAGAAAGGGGGATAATTCAAAAATTAGGCAAGGCAGAGTTACGGTTCTTGTGCACTGCATACCAAGTCAATGAGATCTATCTACCTACAAAGTTTCATGTTGATACCTCTTATAGTTTAAAGGTTATGTCCCGGACAAATTTCAAAGTGTAAAATAAACAAAGGGGGATTATTCAAAAATTAGGCAAGGCAGAGTTACGGTTCTTGTACACTGCATACCAAGTCAATGAGATCTATCTACCTACAAAGTTTCATGTTGATACCTCTTATACTTTTAGAGTTATGTCCCGGACAAAGTTCAAAGTGTAAAATAAACAAAGGGGAATAATTCAAAAATTAAGCAAGGCAGAGTTACGGTTCTTGTGCACTGCACACCTACTCAATTAGATCTATCTACCTACAAAGTTTCATGTTGATACCTCTTATAGTTTTAGAGTTATGTCCCGGACAAAGTTCAAAGTGTAAAAATAAACAAAGGGGAATAATTCAAAAATTAGACAAGGCAGAGTTACGGTTCTTGTGCACTGCACACCTACTCAATTAGATCTATCTACCTACAAAGTTTCATGTTAATACCTGTTGTTGTTTCAAAGTTAAGTCCCGGACAAGAAAAGGGGATGGACGGACGGACGGACAAGGCGGCGACTATATGCTCACCCGAAATTTTTTGGGGAGCATAAAAATAGTCCAGGCCTTTCATATATGGTACTGTATTTGTCTCTAACATAATACAGAATTTTCTAACCGTTGAAAACTATTTGCGCTTCAAGATAATCCTGTGTTTTAGGAAGAAAATTTATAGGTATATAATAAATGCTGTCATTGACATTTCTTATGCTTATATTTATTATATGTATTTCTTGCAATCCTATTTATAGCTACAAATTCTATGAATTAAAATAGAAAATGAAGGTAGCATGCAGACGGTGTTGATATTGTGTGATAAAAATTTAAAGATCATTGGAAATCATCCCAGTAACCGAATACTCTAAATGACCGAGTACTCGAGTATTGATTTTAGTAATTGTTGCCATCCCTAAAAAAATAAAGTACTTGACAAGATCAACTAACATCTAAATAAAAAACTTTGAAAACAGAATTAATTATTTTGAAAAATTCACTCTGAGCTGTATTATTTAAAATGGGTGTTCAAACACATTGAAAACATTGATAATTCATTTCATGTTCTTGGTGATGAAGTGGTGCCTCAATATAGTTATCACTGCAATCTATCTTCCCTCATAACTCCTACTATTACTGTATCTGTCAAACAAGCATCTCTGTTTTCTGAAATAGAGTTTTGAAAAAGTTTATTGCTGACCGAGATATTCCATACTTGTATGTTAACTTTTTTTCAGCATCTTTCTGTTAGAATTACTCTGATTTATAAAGGTATAAAACCAAAAAATGCGCGACCAATGCCAGAGCTCAACCCCTCTGATCAGATTTCACAAACGAGCATCTGAGTAGAACCACCGCCTTTTTTTAAAGCTAGCTGGATTGCTTTCTCACATTAAAGAATCCATATTAAATATAATAGAACATTGATAATTGCTACACAGTCTCTTTGTAAACATAAAATAAGCATGTTTTGTGTTTACATAAAGTAGCTATGTAATGTTAAAACACCACATGCTATAGTTGGTCACAATATAAATATATAGTGTTGTTAGGAAACTGACAGTTTTTTTAAGAAGGACCAAATTTTTTTTTGTCTCGTAAGAAGGAACATGGCTTCCAATGCATAGTTAATTCATTCAAATTAGACATATTCAAAAAGAATTGCATAGAATTCAATACATTTTCATGATTAAAATATTTTACTGATGAGCATAGTCAGGGCACTCGTTTGGCCATTTTTGGGGCCGAATATCGGCCCCATTCCCCTCTCAAAATCATATGCTTTTTTCCCCTATTTCAGTAGAAAATTCCCCTTAAAAAAATTGTAGTGTTAGTGTTTGATATTTAACAAAAAAAAGTGATGTTTTGATTTCATAAAAATAAAATATATTTCTGTTTAACTTTCAATGGATTGAAAACTAAAATACAGTTGTCAACAACGCTGTATGATAAAACCGAAAGTAGCAGGAAGTGAGAAATGTACAAGGGAGGTAACTCTCGTAAAAATTATTGACAAAATTAATGTGGCAGATAATCATCGTAGGAGTTTACCTTATATTTAATTTGTTTAGAGAATAGACATACATTGTCATATTCTGCTAGTAAATAAACAAAACTAAATTTAATTTAATTTCTGTCAGTTGTTGTTGGAAAAAACGTATTTCTCTTGCAGTTTTGTACTAACTCAAATATTTTCGTACCAAATATTTTCGTACCCAGTTTTACAGTTACAGACAATTTCCTCTGGAACCAAAACCTTTCTTAGAAAAAGCATAAAACTTTCTTATTATTATTTAATTCTTATATCAATTCACATTGTTATAATTGTTTCAATCTAAAGAACAGGCAGAAATATGTAGAAAATAGATTAAGAACTGACCAGTGCAGATTGCAAAATAGTGTGATACATTTTTAACTTTAAAAATAAAGAAAACATAAATGAATATGATAGGAAATAATTTTGCTGTGTTTCCATAACTTGGGTACAACATACCCTTGCCTAGGAAAGTCTGCCTTTCCAGAGCTTGTTGCACTGAATCAATATTTTTGTAAGTTTTTTTTTAAAAACAGCAACAACAAAAACAACTGTCAATTTTAATTTTTTATCAAAAACAAAAATGCATTATGCTTGTTATAGATTTTAATATAACCCTTACGTTTTTCAGAATTTGCATTTTACCCCTCACTTTAGAATTTGAGGGGTATAAAACCCTTGGCCAAAAACATATATCTGAAGCTCTGATTGATGTCTGAGTCAGTCAAGTGCAATAAGAAAGCAATAAAGAAAACAATGACATAGCCTATTTCAAGAAAAACTTTATGTTAACTTATATGTTTTATATGTAAGGTCTATAGTAATAAATATACTTTATAGCTATTGTAAGTAATGGTAGGAAATTGTGCCAAGAGTAAGTGTAAAACCTAAATTTAAAAAACTCATATATGGCTTAAAATTCCCCTTTTTGTCTTAAAATGACGCAAAATTCCCCTTTCTGAGGGTATGGGTACCTATCCCCAAAAGTTGTCTAGTGCCCTGATAGTATATCTTTAAAGGTAAGTGGTTTAGGTGCATTACTTTGACTATGGTCACCCCAATTAAATCTATTTATTTGCTTAGTAACACAACTTTTTAAAGTCATATAAATTTGTAAATGTGAGTGATTCTGATAATCTATATACAGCTAAGTCAAGATGAGATGATTAGGTTTTACTGACTGCTTACTACATGAAGTCACTATTTCAATGTCAAATGCCTTGAGGTGAAAGGAATGAAAACTTGAATTTCAAAATACAATTTAAGTGAATTACATGTCACAAATGAGCCATGTCATGACAAAACCAACATAATGGGTTTGCGACCAGCATGGATCCAGACCAGGTTGGTCTGATCAGGATCCATGCTGTTCGCTTACAAACCTTATTACAAGTAGAGAAACTGATAGCGAACAGTATGGATCCTGATCAGACTGGGCGGATGCCCATTATGTTGGTTTTGTCATGACACGGCTAAAATGTTTTTGCTATCGACTTTTGTTCCTAAATTAACAACAGATTGCATAATGAAAAGATATTGAAATAATTAATATACAATTGGCTCTAAGTGCCAAGCTTACAGATTTTAAATAAACTTTGAGCCCTGTGTTGGCCTTTAAACATGTCAAACATTTAGAAAGTATTTATTAAGGAAAAGTGTATACAAATAATCATGTACCTCTTCATTATATGCCCATGACATTGAAAAAACATTGTGTCATCTGTTTACTTCAAGGTTAGTCACATTGACAGTATCACATTTTAGACTTCATCTCTCGTGATTCCATTCATAAAAAGCATCCTCAAAATGGGTCCCCTTGTAATTTCACATTCATCAATCTGACAAAAACCTCCTGGAAAAGAAGTTAGAAACATATGCCACTAATTATGTCAGTTAATGTCAAATAAATACTTTGAGAAACTATTTGGTCAAAATTGTAAATATACAAAGATTTTCAAACCAAATATATATATAACAATGAACATTTCCTTTTTAACTTTCTAACATATATAATGTATGGTCTTACTTGAAGAAAATGTTTGCCCGTGTGACCGAAAAGGGATTAAGGACCATTACTATTGTTTTTCCTTTTGTTTATTAAAGGGCCATGGCCCCATATTCTATTGTTATGGAATGAATTCTATTGTTCTCTTTTGTTATGCTACAGTAAGATGGATATATATATCAAAGTCAGAAAAAAGCTAACATGTTTTTACCTTAATGGCCTGTATAATTATGTTTCACAGCTTCTCAGCAAACAACCAACTGAGCCACAATTGAAATCTAACAAACAAGCCTTTATTCACAAACCTGAAATAAAAACTTTTCCTAATCAATACAATAGTTCTTTTAATTTATTACATACTTCATTGAAACATTAAGAAATATTGATAAAGTAAAATGCTCATTTTCATTTCCTGTATTTTCAATGTAATTATTCATTTTTCATTGCGTATTTTCACAAGTGTCTCCTAAATTTAGCCTATACACAATAGACTGTAAAGAATAATAGGGCAATTTCTTTATAATTTCAAGTATTTATAGTCGAAACAGTCCTTTTTAAAGGCATATATATGGGTAAGTTGAATGTTGCATGTCCAGATATGATTGACTAACAATAATTATTGTAAAAGTGAGTAATAATTGTCGGAATCATAGCTCAATCGGTAGAGAACATAGCTCGAGGTTACCAGATTTCAAAAAAAAAAATTATTAATTTTGTTCTGACATGTCAGGAACAACTTAGACATGTCAGGTACAACTTGAAATTTAAATGAGTTTTTCGTTTGATTGATTTTTGTTACCTATCTTACTTTTTCATTGAAGTATCTTTACCTTCTTAAAAATTATGCCCAAATCTCATTTCTTTCTCTTTTTTTTAAACTTCTTTTCATGAATTTAATATGAATATTTTCAACAGATTTTAAAATAATCAAAATACAACACTGTTAAGCATATATAACTGTTGTCAGGATTAAGTTTTGTTTCATCAAAAAAAAAACTTGAATAGAAAATAGAACAGTTTCCACCTGTAGTTTGGAACCCACTAACTGAATTCACTTTTATATCAATATTATGCAGTCTTAAACTTATTTCACTAGTAAGTCAAATGATTTATTATCTAAAACAATGTAATTACATGTAGTATAAGTTTTATGGAAATAATGTGGTTAATCACTTGCAGTTAATCAAGGCTTGACAAATCCACTTGTCCGCTCATAAATGATAAATACGAGTAAAAATGACTCTGGACAAGTTAATCTCCCAAAAATGCCCGTCCTGCAGGACGTGTGAAATTTCTAGCATAAATTAATCAAATTTCAATTCAATTCTTTTGAAACCATTTTTCAAGTTTTACTAGTAGGACAGAGCACAAAATAATTCCCCTGTGTTTGATGGGCAAAACTGATGTTGATTTGTTGAATGCAACGCTTAATTCTGTCTGATTCTTTTTTGTAAAAACTTACTAAAAGCCCGTGCGGCGATTCCAGTATGTTCCACAATTTTTTTTTAAAATGTCACAATGCAATATTTGGCAAATGTTTAGCCAGAAAGAAGTAAGTTAAACAGTGTCTTCAAAAAAGAAAAAATGCCTTCAAAAAAGAAAAATGAGTCAGAACATGTAGGAAATTTATATTTTTTAAGCATTGTTGTTGTTGTTGTTTTTTCGTTTTTCAATCCCTGATATATTATTTGTAGTATTTGTAACTATTATCTATTCTATTTGTAATAGAACAGCATTTTTCCCTTATAAAACTATTTACATTCCCAATAAAAAAAGACAGCAAATTTTCAAATGTTTTATTTTTAAAGTCCCAAAATTACTGTCAAAATTCCCATCCAAAATTGGCATATATAAAATGGATGATTTCATATTGATAAGTGATATGTGATAAAAACCAAGTATAACTACATCTGACAGAGCAATATTTGTACCTAGTTCATTTTATACTTCCGAACATTATTTATGTACATGTACTCATTTTTTTCACTCCAATAAGAAATCAATATATTATGCATGGTTTAACTTTAAATGTGTATAAATATTATGCATAATTCTCATGTCTCCCTGGATAAAATTCTAAATTAACCATGTGGCATGAATACCTGTCAGTTATGTAGTATCAATTTGAGTCAAAACGCATTTTTCCAAAAAAAAATTGTACTGGTAGCGTATAGATGTTACACAGAACTAAGCAAATGTCAGGGTTTTTCAATGCTAATCCCCAGTGTAAATATAATTATAACCTTACTCAAATTTCTTAAAATGAGGGGTGAAGTGTCTGCAAAAAAGGGCCTAGGGTGAAGTGTCTGGGGGGTGAAGTGTCTGTAAGCCGAGGTGATGGACAAGGCAAGACATGTCGATTTTTTTTAGCTTATTATGAAGTTGCAGTACATGAGAGACTGGCACATGATGAATCAGCACATAAATAAAACAATCTAGTGTTCTGTGGTTTCTAAGTGTCATACCTCAGCTCTTTTCCTTATTACAATGAAATTTTACATGATTGTTATCCACCGCTGGTTTGTTTTAAGCAGTGAATGATAGGTACCGTTTCAGCAGATTTCGCAAAGAGGGTACAAATATGGATTATGCACCGTGGATCCAGTTCATTCTTTGAGAAAATGTAATAAGACATCATTACTGAACTTGTATATTTTTTATTTAAAAAAGCTGTAAGGTAAGCATCAACAATATGTATACGCTAGATGTAAATAACTCACCTCCAAAAAATATATAAAAAAAAAAATGGGTCAAAAATGTCTGGGTAGGAAATGGTTTGAGGGAGGACTTTCAAGGGAAGGAACTGCTAAACTTAAAATTTGATAAGGTCAATTCAGTACAAAAAAGCTTTACCCGATAATGGCCGATTGTGAAGAAAATTTGTAAAAAATACAGCTTTTGATTGCAACTTAAATATCAACGTTATGAAATATAAACAATGAACATCAGTCATCTTGAATAACGTTGTATTTAAAGTCATATCCGGTATTAAGTCCTTGTATTTTTTGTAAGCAACCAGAATCGCCAACGATTTGACGACGATTTCGCCACTGATAAATGGATAAATGCAAAACAAGCAAAGTTATACAACATTTAGGTAAATGGGAGATAAGGTTTTTGTAAAATAAAACTTACAACTCGTTTTAACACGTGGAACTTCTATATAAACTTCTCAATCTTTCACGGATGAACTTGTAAACAATGGCGATTGCGGTAAAATGACGTAAGGGCGAAAATAGTTCGTATTCATACGCATGCATTGTTTTTCTTAAATTTACACTTATGAAGCATTAGGCCCTATAAGCTTTAAAGTTAGCTGATCTGAAATCCGTATTCCATTACTTGCTAAATTTTTGAGTTCTATGACACTTAATTAACTTGTGACTACATGTAATTTGTACTATATTTATGCAAGTACTTTGGCTATGATCGACCGCTGGCGTAGTAATATTAAAATCGCGTAAAGCAAAAATATACATACAATTTTAAAAGACGATTGCTAAATTTAGTACAAAATTGGCCAGTCAATTTTAAAATAGATAGGGAACTATGATTTTGGAGTTACTGCGAAGTTTTGGAACTATTTTGCTTAGCGTAGGTAGCTGACTAATTGTGTTCACATCATAGTAAATCTGAATTTGTCGTTATTACATTGGGGGCGCATTGCGCATGCGCCCCCAAAAACACCAACAAGGTTTATTATACAAAGTGTGTAAAACTAAGGCGTCCTTCAGAGAATCCATATTTTGCCATTGCTAATAAATGCACAGTCGTTGAACGCATAACATCATATTATGGGCTTGAGTTTAATTCCATTTAATGGAGACAGATGCAAACAAACTACTTTTAGTATTAATTTTTTTTATTTACTAAAATAGTCTTAAATAAGAAAATAATAAGTTCGTTAATTAATTTATTTATTTTTTAAAGAAGCAAAAAAAACTTTACCCGTCTTTGCCTTTGAATTTAATGAACTCGTCAGCTAACACCAAAGCTTCGGCCAACCTGCAATATCAATGGTGCATATTAAATCTACTGCCTGGTAGTGATTGCGATTCAGACTGTTCCAAGGCGGTTCAACCACCACCCATCCCATCGATCATTTAAGGTCTTATATTAACTTTTCAAGCTTTCCGGAGTTGTAATGTGAAGCTATCCCACCCCTTCCTTGAATTCTTTAATTACAAGCGTTTGCTTGTTCTTTCTAAATCGGTGCTCTACTAGTTTGGAGGAGGGATGAGCTATCTTCCTTGATGGTCTCTGCTGTCATTTTGTTTGCAATTAAAATACGGTTTTAAACACATCGTTAAGTTAAATATAACATCCAACATACCTTTTTAGTAGTATTGAAGCTTTCTTTGCATCATTTCAGAAAAATGTGACATAAAATGGATCATTTTAGAATAATTATGTAAATTACTATACTTACATGCATATCATATGCCATTACACTTATGTCTTTTGTTTTAATATCATGTTTTGAATTTGTGACAACCACAATTAAGGGCTTTCTAAATCAAAATTACAAAAATTGATCTTTCAACAGGATAGTGTCTGGTGATACTGCACGGAGATGTAAGGCTGGCCTCTCCTAATATCGATGACAAGGAATACAAACTTTGTTCACTCTCCAGTTAAGAAGTAATCTGTTACTCGATTGATATTATGATAATATCTTAAGACGTCAGTCCAGTGTTAATAGCATAGCTTTAAATTATGTGTTGAAACGTCGGTCAATTATTCAATAATACAAAGAAAATAATATTTCCATTGCTTGCGGTAACGTTTCATACATCGATACATACATGATTTCGACGCTGTTGCTGGTCTTATGTTGGTACGCCCTCTGGTGGAGTAAATTTCTGATATGAAACATATCATACAGGTTTGTAGCTTCCTAGAAATAAACATTGTATGTAGATTTTTACCATGCATGTACTGTATTTTCTTTTTATACTCTACATTAAATATAGCATTTAAAGATAAAAGATCAAGTATACTTAGTGATATATATTTTGTTATAACTTTTAGATATATATCTTTATTATCATAAACAGCGTGTGTACAACAAACAACATGATATACTAGTAGGTAATGTAAACAATTTTTTTTCAACAAATTAAACAAGTCTTTGGTCATATCTCGGCTCATGCTCTCCAGGATTAGTAACCAGTAATAACGAATTTTTCGATCAATGAGAAAGAAGATAAAACACAGGTATATCAATATAAGAACAATTGTTTATATCAGATGTTTAATCAATATTCAAAGAATAGCAAATGAAAAATCGAGGATAATTGTTTGGAAAGTGGACATGGATTATATATCAATTTGGGATTACTTTAGATATCTAGAGCGCAAAGCGCGAGTTATAAAAGATTTATTAAAATCAAAAACGTTTGCTTATATTACTTCATCATTCAAGACATTAATCAAAATAGCAGCAAAGACTCGAAATAAGTTATAATAAAAATGCATTCACCTCGTGCGTTCCGCTTTCCCATGCCATTCAATGTATAGAACAGTAACCACAGACACTTGGGGTTTGGAGCTCAAAACGCCTTTAAAATCCAAATAAAATGCATATTTGTCTATCCCAGCACATGTACTGATCATATATATCAAAAAACTTAATATAAGCCGTTTTAAACTTCAACTTTAAGTTGAAATGAAATATTTTGTAAACGGAGAGAAACGGCGATAATCTCGATGTACCAAAGGATTATGTGAAAATATTGGAAATGGAATAAAATACATGGTGATTATGACGGTAGGGGTACGGACTTTTCCGGCGAACATTTTTATCTTGTGTATTATTTTAGATGTTGAAATATGATTTTTTTTCAAAACGGCTTATATTAGTTTTTTTATATATATGATCAGTACATGTGCTGGGATTGACAAATATGCATTTTATTTGGATTTTAAAGGCGTTTTGAGCTCCAAACCCCAAGTGTCTGTGGTTACTGTTCTATACATTGAAAGGCATGGGAAAGCGGAACGCACGAGATGAAAGCATGAGAGTCACCTGATTCTATGTTTCAAAAAATGTGATATGAATTATATGTCATTGTTATATTTCAATATTTCACCAACCAACATAAGATAAAGTCAAATAATGCCTACTTTGTCTCTATAGCAAATCTGCTGTTCTATTACCCTCGAGAATGATATTAATCGATTGTGATTAAAATTGTTTCCAATACCCAACATGTGACTGTCACGTGCAAAGTAGTCCCACTTGTCGACATCTATCTTATTTCGGTCGTTGGAAACAATCTACAATGTTGACAAATTATCTAAGGTTGTATTTTAAATATAAGTTAGGTTGCTGGCGTGACATGCAGGAGAATATAGCTAAAACAAGATTTATATGATCCCAGATGCTAAGTAAGTATATTATTACAAATTACTTACATTTACTTTATATTAAAAAATGAGATATGTGAAGATATAAACAAAACGAAAAATTAATTCCAAATATGGTACCTCACAAAATCTTCATTGTCAAGTGTATTCGCATGATTTACACGGAAATTTTCCAACACATTTTAATTCTAAAGATATTTATTTTCAGTGTTCATTTAAAATTCCTTTTATTAATGGCGGCCATTATTTTTATTTTCAGAATGCATGTATTCATTGTTCTCAAATGAGAAGACCTAATGTCAGTCGTTTCCTCAGAAGAGTTGAGCGTTGCGTCTATCTGGGTTCCTCAAAGGCTATTTTGAGCTGTTTTGAACGTTTGATATTTTCATATAGCATGTAACTAAGTGTTCCAGTACAAACTACACCCTCATTCATAAGAATATCCAAATGAAACATTCGTATTGATTTATTGTTATTTAAAATATTATGGAAAATGTGCCCAATGTAGATCAATTCACTTTAATGAAAATAATGGAAATAATATATGACCGCTATTTTGTTGCTTAGTCAAAATACATTTCATACATGTTTATCGACGGAATCAAGCGAGGCGCTTAATCCGCCTAAGGTGATAAATTAAAACAAAATAATAACAAAATTAAATTGCTATTATATTGCTAAGATTGTCTTTCCAGATTTTCAGTGACCGCGAATTTATCTACATTACAAACTTTTAATGAAAGCTTGTACAATTACATAAAACTGTTTCATCAATACACTTTCATTGTTATACATGTTAGCCAATAAAATTATTTACCTCGTAAAGAAACCATTTCTCTTTCGGAATGCTTTTGGGCGCATCTTTTTGTGGTCCATTGATCAATTCTTTAATATATCTCACTTCTTTTTCCATGATACCTTTTTTGTTGAACTCATCTTTTAGTCCCGCATTTACTTTCAGCATGTGATCTAACATGTTTATCGAGCCTTTTTCGTGCTTCATGAAAATATATATCAGGAGACACGTAATATACATATTCTACACATCCTTATCCGAAAATTGACGGAAATTGCCAAGGTCTGTCGGACGGGAAGGGCAAATAATTGACAGAAAAGACCGAAGCGTTGTGTTGCAGTTCTAATAATCCCGACAAGTTTCTGTATTTATAAATTTAATTAGTGTAATTTGTAACGTCACGTCATATTAACCCTCTGTTCCAAACAAAATTCAGAATTTGTTATTTTCTTTCTTTTTACCTATACATTTTCATAAACGTTCATTTATGTGAACTGTTGTACATTTTTCATATTTTTTCATTGTCTTTCAAACCGATTTCTGTACGAAATTGCGCAATCTAATGTTGATAAGGTAAAGATTCAAAGCGAGCTCTTTGTCAGAAGTTATGAAACATTTCAATATAAAATTATAACCCATTTGCGGCTGTACACTTTTAACTACACATTAAAAATACAATACGCTTAAAATAGCACCTTTTCGGTCGCGCAAACACTACTACATACTATTTCTTACTTTTGGAATACGGCTATTTCATGTTTGATATAACTATAGTATACAAAATACTGTATCAACAAGTCAGAGATATTAGCTAAAAATCAAATTTCGGGAATTTTGTGAAACATGAACCTACAGGAAGTTGATATTGACTCGTCGTCTAGTTTTATTCATTCTATATTTCATTAATTAGTTGCGTAAAAAGATAGTTCTTTTGACTTAAATTTATCAAAAAATTGTACGGTATTCTTGAATCAGTCGAAATTTTACATAATTCATCAAACGACCGTGAACGCGCTTAGAGTCCCATTTCAGAAAAATGTACGTTGCAAAACTACGTATTTTGATAAGGGGTTCCGAATGTCAATTTGAATTGGAACCATAATGTGACAGAAAGCTAGAATAACTTATCCACGTCGTCCTTCGATATATTATTTTGCAAGTAACCTTCTGGTAAAAAAAATAGGACAGGGAAACAAAATAACCAAAATAACCTCCAATGAAGAGAAGACAAACTTATTACCCATAATTTTGATGTACTTCCGGCAAAATTTTTCCAGATCATCACTTTTGAAGATACTAAACTTGCTTAATCGTAATTTGGGCCCCTTTCGGCCGCTGTAAAATGATTGACTTATTTGTAAATTTCATTAAAATCTGGTCAAAGATGACACAAATATATGCAAAAAATATTAATCTAAAATAAAAGCTATTTTCCAATCAACTTCTCATTTTCAAGTACTGGTTGTGGCCTTTAAGGTTGGAGCGTCAGAATTGCAGCCACCGTTTAACCCTGCGTGACTAAATGGATTCTAAGCATCTCTTAACTCCAGCAGGTAATGTGGTTTGACCCCTGGTGATGTTTAAAGTTTGTAACACCCGTGGTTACTAATGTCATATGTCCAGTTTCGGCGTCATAATTAGCCAAAACTAAGTTGATAGGCAATTAGCATACAAAAACCAAAAACAAAACATTTTCAAGCAAAATTCATAAATCTATTTTCCTATCATTTTTTTTCAAATCGTTGTTTCTTCTACAATGTATTTATATTTGCCTTTCTTACATCCAGTGAGAAAAAATAGACCCTTTTATTTAAGCGAAAAGCGTCGATGAAGAGTTACTTCCCTTTAATATGGTCTACAATAATTATATAATTATGTCAGTCATTTGACCATCTTTTTATATAAAATCTTATTAAATTACACGAATGTTTGGCAATGTCAATCTTATAAGAGAAAGGATTAAAATCATATCCCTTTATTAATATAATTAATCGTATCGTCAATGTCTACCGTATTACCCAATGACGTCATCCAAGGGCGACAACTTGAATCCGGTCTTAAAAGTGTCTATAGCAAACAAAAATCTAACAGAACAGCATTTTGTTGCGTCACCCTATACCAAATTAGTTAACCAGCCCTGGTACTTGGCATTTTGTGACCATTTATGTCTGTTTTTTTACCTAAGTACAATTGGTGACCAAATGTTTTGAACGACTGACTTAGAGATTTTCAAACTATCACATTCATAACATATTCCACTTTTCGCGTAACAGACAACTGCCTATAATAAACAAACCAATTCTTAATAATAGATGTATTGTGATATTATAGTGTAATCATCCTCATAAACCAGTCCTGCTGATTGTATGGCGCCATTATATGTCACAACGACGCTAAATGTCGCACTTGCCGCGAGATGTACACTAGTGCCGCTAAATGTCGCAACCGTCGCTAAATATCTAAAATATTTTGTCGTTAAATGATGCACCACTGTAGCTACATGGCAAGTATAATTAACTGAAGAAAATATGTATAAAGAATTACCTTCCATTTCCCATCCTCATTCTCATCCTCATCCTCAACTTCATCTTCATCCTCATACTCGTCATCAAACTCATCCTCATTCTCATTCCTCAGTTCAGACTGCAAAAAAAATTCTATCATTACTAAAACATATACCTTACGTTCCACTTTTTAATAATAGATGCATAGTGATTTTATAGTGTGACCATCCTTACACACGTCCTGTTGACTGTGTGTCGCCCTTTTATGTCTCAACGACGCTAAATGTCGCAATTGTTACTAAATACCGCAACTACCGCTTAATGTCTCAAAATATGTTGCCGTTTAATGTCGCAATGATGACGTTAAATGTCGAACCATTTCCCCTATCGTAAAATGTGATAACGCTACAGTTACATGTCGCAGTATCTAAATTCATGATAAATAACTTGTATTATGTCAATATCAAATCTAAATTTTGCGACATTAAACGGTAGTTTTGTGACATTCAATGAAACGAGAAAATGGTGCGACATTTTACGGTAGGGTTGCCACATTTAACGGCAAAATATGTTGAGACATTTAGCGGCGGTTGCGACATTTAGCCGCAATAGTGCGACATTTAGCCGCAAATGCGACATTAAGCGTCGTTGCGACATATAACGGCATCACAAACTGCAAAAGATACTGTTTACTATCATTAGTGAAACATATTCCTTGCATTTATTAATTACAGTTAGAAAACATTAATGTATAAAGTTTAAACAACGTGGTCGTTTGCCGCCATCTACAGTGAAAAGAATTATTGTTCTAAAACATGACTTTATCACATCTACAAATGTAGTAATCAATCGAAGAAAATATGTATAAGGACTTACCTTACGCTTTTCCCACGCTTCAGAAATAAATCTCTTATCAAATAAATGAGAAAACGGCCCGTGTCCTGTGAATAAGGTATAAAGTGGAGTAGATATTACATTTTAGGTCCGAGAATGACGAATTTTATTATCAAAATGCCCACTGTTCTCATGTTAAAAACAGAAAGAAAATGCTTATTTCATATATAATTTAAAATAATAAACTGAATAAAAAATCATAATGATTACACACAATTTGACATCAAATATTTTTTACGGTTTCAACCTCACAAATTAAAATTCATGAGTATATAAAGTTGAAATCGTGAATTCATGAACTTTAAATCATGCATTAGTGAATTGAAATCGTGAATTCATAGAGTTGAATTCGGGAATTTATGAAGTTGAAATGTCCCCAACTGGTATTTCGTAGAATTGAAACAAATCTTACCAAGGTCATGACACAAGGCTGCGATTTCAACACAAAGTACATCTTTAGATGTTATGTTGAGTTCCGGTTGCCTGTCTCTAAGGGCTCGCACGAATTGTCCGGCTAGGTGACAAACGCTTTCATGTAACAAAAAAAATCAAGAACTTAAAGTCATTATTAACTGCAGGTTCATGCCGAAATGTTGTTGTTTTTTTCTCTTTACCTTATGTTGTTGATGATGTCTTATTTAAGTAAACGTGTATGGTATACGACATTTCTAATCCGTAGAAGAAGCTAATATAAATATTAATCAGTGATTTGACCATGTGCTGTAAATAATTGTAATTAATGTTCGTTGCATTTTACGACACAAAGTTAACAAGCTTGTCCTTTTGCAGCTAGAAATTCAACCTAATATGTTTAGTTAAAGTTGATTAAATTTTGGGCTTCGTTGTATATTATATGTTAACAGATATGTTCATATCATTTAGTATTGGTTGAGGCTAATGACTACAGATGATATTATTTCAAATATTATTTTAAAAGGTATTTATCAAAATGCGCTAGAACAGTGTAATCTAATTGGTACAAAAAACTGGGCATACCTTGTAAAAAGTTTGCGCAATGAATATGGATTTTCTGACGTTTGAAATTGTTCATGAAGATTTGAAGTAAAAATCTTTATACCGATTTTCAAACAAAGAGTCATAAATTAAGAATTGAATCCGCCAGATATGGCCGGGACAGGAACGTATCAGCCAAGTATGGGATATCAACGAAATTGAAGAAGAATGTCATTTTGTACTTAAAAGAATTGCAAACTAAATATATTAAAAGGTTATTATTATGTTCATTACAATTATGTATAGAATTGTTACAGTCAAATAATAAAGGCGTTCTGATCAATCTGAGTAAATACATAAACTCAGCCAATAAATTAGAAATGATATAATGCAAAGAATTTAAGAAATGTTTGAAATGTAAGCGTTTACTGGCCTATAAGGTAGACAGTATTATTTGATATCGGAAATCCATCAAGATTCTAACATTGATCCCATAAGAGAGTATTATCTTGAAATGTTTGTAACGAAGCTTTATGCTTTTCCATATGTTATATTTATGTTATATTTAAATATATGTAATTACCACACACGATTTAAACATAACCTTTGAAGTTAAATCAATTATGAAAATTTGTTCATTCTCTGTGAAACATTGAAAACATGTTTGCATATGTTAATAAAATTCAGTTCTTGTCTATTGTATTTCCGCCAAAACCCAGCTCATATCCAATAAATTGATTTTTAATTATATAATTATGTTCTTAAAAATGTTTACCTATATTTTCATTTGTTTATTATAAGCAACTTCCCACCATAGAATTTTACACATGATTTAAATAATGGACGTTGTAGTAGAATGTTCAGATTAAATAACCGTAAAAGACTAAATAAGGGAGAAGTGTCTGTGATTAAGGGCAATAGTTTTAAACAACCATCCAGCGATTTTATATAATTATTTGAGATATAGATAAAAGTGGTACCATTGAACGTAATCGGGTAAATTTGCCAGTATATAGGTTAGCAGTTTCAACCATTATCACGGCAGCCATGTGTTATTTAAAACACTAAAACTGGTCTAAGTGCGGTGCAAATTGTGTTTTATTCACAACCGCTTTGAAACATCCAGGGGAGTTTACTATTACATAATGGAATGCGGAGCCATATAAGAGTTATGTTTCCGTAGTGACATGAAAATAACATCTTTTACTGTAAACAGATTATTGGTCGGCGGGAGTGTTTAGGCCTAGATTGAAGGATATATATTTAGTTAAAATAAAGTCCTTTGAAAAACAATATAACGAGATACATACCCGATGGAGTGCTCGAACCTGTTATGTGATGCCCCGGGGTACACGAAATAAACGCCACCGAGTTGTTTAATGAATCTTAGACGTTGAAATTGCGGCGTGTCAACTATCTTCACCAACAACGGATGTAACTCTATATTACCGTGGATAGGATCGTTAAAAACCTGTCAATAATAAATTAAGGCTTTCTTTTAACTTTTTGATTATTCGCATTCGTATTACAAAGGAATATGATATAAAATTAATAATTACTGGTGCCCTGAAAGCGGCACAACATAGAAAATTGTTCATTCATATAAAGACAATAAATATTTTTTATAAATCTTAATCCTTGTCATATCTTTATTACTGTCCGAAACCCCTTACACTTATTTAATTTAAATAACGAGTGCCAAATGAATTGTTTGGTAAACTTTGCATAAAAGCTCTTTGATAAACAATTTCAGGATCGGGTCGAAATTTAAAGCAGCTAGAAATGAAATACAGGTGAGTCAGAGGTCAAAAGTATTGATTGTTATTACCATGTTTAAAATGTAAAAAATTTATGAATAAAGTGAAATATTTCTGAATGATTTTTAAATATCAACATTATGACGACATGCGTTAATGACGTCATAAACTATAGCGCCAGTTGTAACGCCAAAGTGAATTAAAGCCACTAAACACTGCAATGAATAGGAAATTTTATATATTTTGCATATTATATATTACTTTTGACCACCAGCTGATATATATTCACAAGTGGCAACTCTGTGAAATAAATTGTCAACTTACACGCAAAACGAACAAACAAACAAATATCTTCTATATACTATGTATCTTGAAATATTTGATACAAAGTTTGATATCCCAATGAAAAATCTTACATGTATCTTTAATTTTTGAATATTATCACACTTAGCAGACTACCACAATCAATCAATCAATCAATCAATCAATCAATCAATCAATCAATCAATCAATCAATCAATCAATAAATCAATCAATCAATCAATCAATCAATCAATCAATCAATCAATCAATCAATCAATCAATCAATTAAGCAATAAATCATTCATAAATAAACAAACACATTTATTTTTTTATTTATTCATTTATTTATTGTTGGATTTTTTTTTTACCTTGGGAGTCATTTTCCGTTTCTTTTCCAGGCTAGCCATTTTCGGATTCTTTTCCTCGCTATTCAATTTCCGTTTCTTATCCGGGGTAGCCATTTTTCGTTTCTTTTTTATGTAACCTTTCTGAAAAATATGAATATATGAATATTCAGATTATCACCTTCTTCTTTCAACATTAAAAATATCTGACGAACGGAAATGGAGAAAAGTAACATTAAAAATAACTATTTAATAAATAAATGAACCAAATAAATTAAATATTAGATTCATGCTTATTTGAAAATGTAGTATAAAGTAAAATATTTTTTAAGGGATTAATCTTTCGAAAATACACGAAATTACAATTTAAATGTCAAAATAAACAAAAAGACGGCCATGATGACGCTTATATCGCTCACCCAATTATCAAGGATTTGAATTAATATTGTTGGCAATAAGTATAAGGAAATATATTGTCATTATTTTAAAACTGATATAATAACGTTTATATCAACACCTGAAATAATGTTAAAAAGGTTTTTTCCATATAATTTTGCCTTTTATTTGTTGTCCCCAGATGACCAATATTGAACTTTATATAGAAATCATTTAAACAATATTCCTAGTAATAGAAATAGTATCGAAACACGAGGCTATCTGATTTGTACGAGGGGACGTAGCCCCCGAGTATAAATCAGATTGCTGAGTGTTTTGATGTTCTTTCTCTTTTGTATTATAGTCAAAAATTAAAACACGTTCCCTGTTGTCACACTATGAAACCCCGGGAAAGAGTTACCAATGAACGAGCATCTGAATAATTATGATATTTCTGTCGCTTTTCCTGTGTCTTCCGTCACAATAAGTAAACCCCAGCAAAAATGAGCCAATCAATGGGCATGCTCTGGAGTGCGGGTAACTAATCCCTGCACTCCAGTTAACACACTGTGCATGTTAGCCTGGGATTCAGGCGTTGATATTTTTTTGCTTATTCATAACTTACGCGCTATTTCATACTCGATCGTCATAGATAACACAACATCTCTGGTTTTGATAGTATCAACGCCTGGGGAAACCTGCGGGGTTTCCCATGTAATTATCGACTAATGATAATCCTATTAATAGACCGATTAGCACGTGACCAACAAATAACATGACTAAATCCAAATCGAGGCGAAGATGATAAATGTTGAAAATTTGACGCCATTTACCATTATAAATTGAGTCCAGCACAATTATCTGATGCTCACACACTTTATCTACTTTAACTTATCACACCTGTTGATCAAATTCACTTATCATGCAATAAATTTTGTCAACGAGTGTTAGTTTTTAATCGGAAATGGTGTTTTGAAAGCGAGGCTCCGTAACTGTTCGTTGAGCTTCGGGTCACTTCGTGGAAATTCCGTTTCTATTTTTAGAAACTAGTTTATTGTTGCATGAGTTATCGTTCTTTAATAACACCCGTAATTTTCGGGGTGTATACAAGGTGGCGCTTCGATCGAAAATTGTATTTCCCCAGGCTGTCGATTTGCCGAACAGAAGCACATAACAAATCGACAGACTGGAACCCAGGCTATGTGCCTGTATATGTACATGTACATGTATATGTATACGATTTAACTCTGACACATTTTCAACAGAAAGGTCCCCAAACTATGAATAACAAATAAATGTAAATGATATTTGGGTTGAAAGTTTTACATCTAAGGAAGGTTTAACCATATTTGGGCAGTGTGACCGAATTTTAACCCCATATAACCCATATTCAACAAGTACAGGAAATCAGCCAAAAATGTTTTCTAACCAATATCCAGGGTGATACTTGAGCTAAAAATCATCACAACAGCCTTTCTGACAAATTTCTGGATATTTGAACTAAAAATATCACCTCTAGAATGTAAACAATGCTTTTCCATGATAGGACTGTTTGACCTAGTTTCTTTTTAATTCCCGATGACCAAAGTTCTAACTTGAGCTAGAAACCATCTTAACAACCCTTCTGATTTATATTTGTAGGACCATTAGGTCGAAATAGTAGCCCTTAGACTGTTAACAAGGTTTTCCCATACTTGATCCCCAGGTGGGCTATACTCAAACTTGAGCTAGAAATCATCTAAATAACCCTTCTGACCAGTTTCAAATATATTTGGACTGTAACAGTAGCCCATAGTTTTTAACCTCAGGTGATCTACATTCAAACTTGAGAAAGAAATGATCAAAACAATCTCTCAGACCAATTTCCAGGATTATTGGACCAAAAACAGTAGTAACTAGAGTGTAAATATGATTTTCCTATTTCTAGATCCGGTGACTTAGTTTTCATCCGAGATAAGCTAGGATTGATCTTAATTAATGTGCGTTTTATTTCAAATTCTCTACGGATGCATTCTACTGCCACAGTCTAATTTTTTTAACTTATATTAGGAAATACATTCACAAAAATATAAGTTAACTATTATCCAACTAAAATATAATTTTTCCTTATTTAAACATTCTTAAACTTTCAAAAACAAAGAAAAGAATGTCTCCTTATTATGACTTGACTTAAACACTATCACCCATTTAGGCGTACCTATCACATACGATACACATTTACCCTAATGTGATTTACATATACCTTACGATTTTACAGATTATTTACCGATAGTTTAATTAAGAGATAAAACACAGATAAGAAGATACAATCAGGTTATTAGGTAATTATACAGGACATATCAGTAGATAATTGAACATATGACGCACATGCAAAATAAGATAAGATAAGAAAAACTTATTTACGATAGTGACATGTGTGATACATGTGAATTCAGAGTAACTGCATTTACACCTGACCGAATGGATCTATAAGTCACAAAGTCACCTTGTATTGACAAATATCAGAAACTTCATTGGTGTATCACAAATAGTTTTATAATTAAGTAAATGGAATGATAGTTATTGAAAATGCATTTTATATAATTAAAAAGAAACTAGTATATATCTTGAGCAATTAATTCAGATCAACATTTCTCTTCCTTTCGAACTTTACTAGGCCATTTGATTAGAATTAATATGGTAAGAAATAAGCGTTATGACGCCTTTTGCGTTATTACGCCTTTTTGTTTGCGTCACTTCGCCTTTATTCGCGTTATTTTGCCCTTTTTCGCGTAACTTCACTTTGTATTTAGTATAATGACGTCTTGACTTGCATCATAACGCATTTATTCGGGTAGCCACGCCTTCATTCGCAATACTACGCCATTTGTTTCGCGTAATAACGCCGCCTTTTTGCGCGTTTCTAATCCTTTTTCGCGTTTCTACTGCTTTTGTTTTGCCTATTTACGCCTTTTCATCAGAGTTTCTACGCTGTTTGATCCGCGTTTTTACGCCTTTATAAGCGGTCAAAATCAATATCAAGCCGACGACCTCAAAGGAGATTCAAATGAGATTACCAGAGTCTTATCAAACCTACTCAAAATCATATTACCAAAAGAGGACAAGCAATGCCGTCAAATGTCGCAACCTTGCCGTAAATATCATAAAATTATCACTTGATGACATAGAAAACGTAAAATGTTGCAAAATCCTCGTAAAATTTCAAACCTATTTGAACAGTTAAAACCACTATAGTTTGCAAAATAATTGGCCATAAGTGTTTTCAATTTTTATACTGACTTATTGAAAGCTAGCCTTTTAAAAGAAAATTTTAACCCATTACTTCATATGGATGTCTTTTCACGCCCCCCTCCTCTTTTAGGCCTCAAATAGTGACGAAATGCCCAATTTAGACCCAAACACTTGTTTTAAAAATGGTGTTATAAGAAAATTTTGGACTTGTGAGAGGCTCAAAATCTTAACCAACGCTGAAAAGCTTTTGACTCCATCTCAATCCATTGAGAAGTTGCAGCACTTTGAAATCAGTTTTTATGGAAAAATCAACGCAAAATCGTGATTTTTGCAATTTTGAGATGTTCCCTTGTTGCCATGGTAACAGGAAATTTATGACCGATTATGCGGTTACAAAGGCTATGGTCCATTCAACATTTGTGCCAAGTTTGAACAGTATTGAAGCCTTTTTATAGTTTCATAGCAATTTGAACTTGTAACAGGAGGCTTTGCAATGAAAACAACCATTTTTTACAAAATGCTCATGAAGAAATGGGTTAAACGTGAAACATTATAAACATTATATGTCTCTTTATATAGACATCAGGGGATAATTTAGTAAGTGAATTATATCAAAATAGTGAATGGCAAATTTATTAATCACAAGCGCCACTTTGGTTGGAAGTTGGTATATTCGAATAACCAACTACCTTAGCTTCTGGCTGGTATCTGGTCATTCCCAACTATTTTTCAGATGAAAAGTACTTTCTGTGTTGAGGGGAAAACACGCTAAGTTTGAATAACCTGCATGCAGGTAGTTTGGGATTCGCGTGAATAACCAACTATGTCCCCTCTTTATTTTGTGTTTAAAAATAAAAGATAGTGAAATGATTTACTAACAGTATATTCGAATATCCAACTACCAACAAGCAAATACCTACCAAAATTGACTCTCACAAATCTTTCACTGCCTTCACAACCGTTTTAGGTTCATGTGTATAAATTGCATAGTTTCCTCCCTCAAACAACGTTATTATCCTATTATCTCGGTTTGTGAGTTATGAATATTTTTTAAATTTCTTCGTTCTATTAAAATAACTTTTGAGACAGTGCATTATGAAATTTAATTTCCTATTTTTAAAAGATTTTAATTCATTTTTAGAAGGTTAACCAAAAGATGTATAACAATAAATGTATGCATATACATGTATTGTTTGTGTTTGCTCAGTTATTCCAACTCCACATTTTCTCGCATAACCGAGTGTCTTTTGGTGTTTTGTTAGAAGCATAATAAAAAAGCATTTTTTAGTTCTTGCCATATCCCTTAACACATTTGAGGAAAAAAATAAGTTATAGTAATTTACTTGCGTGACCAATAGAGAAATATTATTATAATGTGCATTACATAAATGTGCATTACATAATTTGTTATAAAAATAAGTATAGAAATATATAAATTACATACAGGATATTAAATGGGTGTAGATTAAATAATGAACTGAATTGAACGAGTTGAATTACAATATATTATGCGAACCTCTGGTGAACAAAGTATTAGATTCAACGAGTTCAATAATTTAATGATAAAGGTAAACAATTATAATATTTTGTTATCACATACCCAAATAAGAACTGTTCATAGTAAAAAAAATCACTTTTGCACTGACGCGCATAAGGTGTTACGATGCTTGTGTCATGCAAATGACGTCACGCCAAAATATCATATGCACGGCCGTGCAATGCTTTTTTTCGGATCCGAAAAAAAAACCCCACACGGGCTTTGATATACAAACTTGTACGTTATTGCTTTTCTTTTAGATTTGTTTTGTTTTTTATTTGAATATCTGAAGGTAATCATCAAGTTATTATAAAAAAATCTTATTTTACGAATCGCGGCTTAGTGTTTTATATTAATTACTCTATAACTCCATCTTACCTTTCTATTGTCCAAAATCTAAATGAAATAATATCATGCGATGGTCAAATGATATTGGTTTTGTTTTCAATTGGGTTATGCAAATGCAATTTGGCTTTCAGAAAATCGCTGATGACACTGATAATTAGATAATTACAGGTCGCTGTAGGCCAAAAATAAATCTGTTTCGGGTCTCCCAATGATTATCCTATTTACCTCAAAAGAAGGAAGAACTATGCTAAGACATGACGATATTAAACTACACTTAGAAGAATGTATGGGAAAATAAAGCAAATCTGTTTTTCTTTACCATACATCGTATCTTCACTAAAATATAAATGTCATTCCCATGGGTTTGTCATTGTTAAAGAGTGCACATTTCACATAGTACATATATAGGTTACGACAATCAATTTCTCGCAAGTCGGCATCATGTACATGTGCATGTTCTTAACTTTAAAATAGTTTCTGGTCTCTTAAATGTATTGCGTCCGGCCGCTTTACTCCGAATCTTGTTTATAACCCATAAATGCCCTGGAAGCAGTTTTGTTAGACTTAACAATTCTGACAATACCTCTGTCTACATTAAAAGCAAATCATTTATATATATTCATGTGTAAAGAAATACCTACCTACCTACCTACCTACCTACCTAACCACCTAACCACCTACCTACCTACCATGTGCTTCAGGGCGGAGAACAGATATAATACCTTGTTTGGCCATATGATAACAGTTAGTTCATTATAATGTAATATATATTGACATTATGATATTTAGATATACATGTCTATGTGAAATATAGGTTATCTTATTTTTCGAAATCCGAAACAGTTTAATTAGGTAATCACATTAAAAAAAAATAAAAATTAATACATTTTTTATGATTTTTATACTTGTGTGTTTTTGATTATTAAGAAATTTATTTCATTGCAAATATTGAAACAAAGGCATTAAGCGAAGTGAGGTGTGTGATGTATCAACTATGATCAAAACAAGATTATACACAAGTCCTTTCGTTTTCCTTAATTACTAAATGTAGTACCTTAATATCAACCTAATATCCTCCCCGTGTGCAAGATCTTACAGAAGCGCAGGCAAAGGGTTAAACTGAAAACATCCTCCCGAGAATGAAAGGGCCGTAGGCAAGTCCTTCTTTTGAATAAATGCAGGAATATTACATGAATGACACACTTCTTAATTTGTTGATGATTATAAGAGCTGTGTATTATTACGCATTCTTGTTTATCATATTTTAGAGCTTTTTAGAACGCTATATTCAGAGATGTGTGAGCATGCTGCGTCCTTTTCGTTCCGGAACTCTATGAGAAAAGGTTTCGGCTGATCCGATTTTAAAATTGTTATTGCAAAAAAGCTAAACCAATTAGTTTTTTGATTTTGTAAAATATAAATTATTATTTCAAACGCGATCTTTATATGAAAATCTTTATAGATTTAGTTTTTGATTGAATTTGTGATAAATAAATAATTATACAAAAATAACCACGTGGCTCTATTTATCCGAAAAGGTACAATACAGTTATAACTATTTCAAATTATCAATCCTATAAATGTAAGCATTGATCATAAATATCTATATATTGGCATGGTTTTAAGGTTGTTTTTGATAAGACAATTTGTTGTTTTTTCTTGATAAAAATACCAAAACGACGTGCAGACGAAACTGAGTGTCTGCTGTAAAGGAGAAAAGGCGACAAGAACAGAGGACAGCTGGCTCGAATTCAAACAAACGTTAAGAATTAGTTTTAACTGATGATGACTTTCCCCTACTTCAGGTGAAGTAAACTTTCAATCTTATTTAATATGTCCATATTCACAATCTATTAAACAGAACATATGGTGCAATAATTATATAGGACTTCAACATCTTCTTCCTAAAATTAAGGAAACCAAAAAGCAATTTTGAACTTCATTCTATGCATAAAACTTCGAAATACAATTTGAAAATGGTGGGTTCATTCTATGCATAATATTTCGAAATACAATTTGAAAATGGTGGGTTCATTCTTTGCATAAAATTTCGGAATACAATTTGAAAATGGTCGGTTCATTCTATGCATAATATTTCGAAATACAATTTGAAAATGGTCGGTTCATTCTATGCATAAAATTTCCGTCATCACTGGTCATTAAGTGACATAAAGTTAATAGTTTGAACCTTTTATATAATATCGTATATATTAAAATATGTTTCGTCTTTGCTTCGTCTTTGATGGAAAAAAAAACCCTGTAATTTTATGTTGGATTTTCGCCAAAAGGGTATGAACAATCGCCCAAAAGTATTGCAAGCATAGGATCTTGGACAAACGGCAAGTAAGACATTTAGAGCCCTTGATTTATCGATCCCTAACGATATCAGGATGACTTCTAGACCCCTTGACACTTAGATCCCCTTTTCACATGACTTTTCGCCCCCAAGTGGGTAAGACATCTCGATCTCTATATCAATGTTTGTACTTTAGAAGCCTAGATACGTTAATGAGCTATTAAAAGCAAATAGCAAATATTTTAATCATTTTCATAACAGGATCCGATAAAATACTGAAAACTTAAGGTAAAGCAATTATCTAACATTGTTTATCATTCATTTCATGTTATGCTACATAGGAATATAGCATTGCTATATAGCAGTTATGATATATAATTTTTGTTAATAAGTTGAAAGGTGTGTGACCTCTCTGTCATTCTGTAACGGGGTAAATATTGCTTTGTATGCTGTCTTACATCATAATAGTATTAATTTGAAAAATGAGTATTGTGCATTCGACTATGATGTAAGAAATTTAGTTTCTGGTGGTTAATACATGGTCAATATATATATATTTATTTCATGTATAACAACACACGTACATATATTTTCATTAAAATTAAGTTTTTGCCTAAGATTTCTTGATATTAGTAGTTCGATTTCTAGACAGTGAAATAATAACAATATTTGCGAGAAAAAGGTGAATTACAAAACGACAGATAAATAACAATAAAAAATAATGTTTTCAATGTATACTGTAATTACTGTTATTTATGATTTTTATTATATCAAGTATATATATTTATGATATATACTTTCTTTTAAACTGTAGTGTGTTTCGATTCTTTATTTAAAATACTTTACTCATGATTATGAATAACAAATAACGGCTTAATATGATTTCACTTATAATTCAGTATATCTATTAGATTATATGCAATAATCAAACTTGTAAAATAAATCAATTTTTCCGTAATTGGCGTATTTATAAACATTATTGTTTTCGAATTTATCGTCTTTAAGGACAATATAGAAAAAGGGGTCTAAATGTCCTGGCAAATTTTAAGGGGTCTAAGTGTATTAAGGGTCTAAGTGTCATGGGTCAAGATGTCTTAGGGGTCGAGGTGTCAAGGGATCCAGATGTTATAGAGTCGGACAAACACCTCGCTATATCGTATATTTTAGAGTGGCAATTTGCTTCAATTTATGGCAAACATATGAAAGGCAGCAACTAGCCTAATTGGTTTGGCCGCCAACGACTCAAGCTTAAGGTTGAAAAATAATGTTATCCACGGACTTTCAATTACCTCCCCTTTCTCGTAAAATATTTTCCTTTTTATTCAAGGAGTTTTGCGTCATCAGAATTTTTTCTTTGGAGTATAAAATAAGTGTATAGAATGCTCTGGTAATCACCAAGCATTATGATGCAGCATATTAGTAAGCAGATACGTGAGGACCCTTCGTATTCTAATGATGCTTCTTCGAAATTTAATTGTAAGTCTAATGGTTTCAGTCCCAGCAACTATCCCACAGTTCCAGTACCAGGGTTGTTCTCCTCGGCCAGAAGATTTGTGGAGCCTAGGTTCCCGCCAAGCGAGACACAGGCAAACATTGCATCTCTTCGTTCGAATTGTCATTCTTTATTCTGTAAATATCATCAAAATGAATACACTAGCTAAGCAGTCACAGGAACAAAACTTTTCTCCTTGTAAAGAATAAAATGATGGTATCCTAACTTGAACCACATGGGTCAGGTTAGGGTGTACTGATTTCATAATAGTTGTCACAGTGAACTCTGGAAACGTTAAATAACATGTCATATGAATAACTTAGCCCTGTTTCAATCATACACTATCCACAATATCTGTTATTTTAACTTCCAGGGCTGGTTCAAGTCAAATGACTTGTTTTAAAACTACTCGGTGATTCTGTCGGCCTCTAAATTTCGTTCAACATACATAGATATATTTACGCTTTAAATCCAAAATATATAGATTTTATACAGAAATCCATGCTGGGACTTTAGAAAATGTCATTTTCGCCTTTTTTGAGTACATAAAATTCATTAATTTGCCTGATTAATTACCCTTATAACAGTTGACAGGTTACAATATCATGCTTCTTTATATCATTTTAACATTGGTTTAAATTAAATTATACTGGTCCAAGAGCATCAGTTGTACCGGATAATCTCTCGTCAGCTTTACCAAATCCAGCAGTTTTAAATAAAAGTTATGAAGACAAACGTTGGACTGGATTGTCGGACATATTTCAAATTCGGATATTAATGCCGTTGGACTTCTTCCCATACCACCGGGTGCCTCGGACTGATTACAAATTTGTAATGTCTGCCAAATTACAGCGTATATGAATTGATCGAACCAGTCTGTCGGCACGTCAAGTATGCACAATTTGACAAAGCATGTATAAATAAATCAACGTATAGGAAATATTGCAGTTTGTTGCAAAGTGATATAATATTAGCTTTTAACTTGTGTCCTTTATGGCCATGTGACTTAAATTTAACTAGCTTTGTATAACCTGGGTTACAGGGTGCAAAAAGATGTAACCTCAGGGTTCCGCCTATGCCTGGTTCATTTTCAAAAAAATGCTTCTTTCTTAGATTGGTTTGTTAAAGAATGACAGACGATAGTTTTTAAATCCTGTCTGGAACTCTCTAACGTATTCAACCACTTTTGCCTAGACCATGGCGTACCTCGATCTGTGCCATAAAGTTGATAGGTCTGTTAAAAACTATCACTTACTCGGGGCTTGAAATAAATAATAAATTGGACTTTTAAAAGCTATTACTTACTCGGGGCTTG